TCAGTTACACTCCATTGACGTCAGTGGGGTTGCCTGGGGTTAACTCAGAGCAGAATTTAATTCCTCATTTTTAATGAGTGTAGTCGAAGCCCCCCAAAATGCTTTTCAGCATATGGTACAGTGTCTAAAAATGTCACCAGTTACTCCTCAGGTGCACGTGCTGCGAAGTTCTTCCTATCACAGCAACAGAAAAAAAAGCTATCTTGTCTGGAAAAAGCTCGTGGAGCTGTTTCGCATGTTGCAGCACGCTGCTCACGGTTTAGTGAAATGAAAGGGGATAGGATGCCCCTGGGACTTGGGTGTTGCACACCTCCTGCAACCACTCATGGCAATCCGCCATCAGCTGGCAGGATGCGGCAGCTCCATTTCAGGTGTCCAGTTCCACTGGCAGACATGCTATTGCATGGGTGCAGGTACTTTTGAAACTTGAGTGTTTCCTCATATCACACCCATATGTTGTAATACCTCTTGGATCCCATTTGGCTGCAGAGAGGTGCTGTGAGTTTCAGAGATGCCATAGTGATGGAAGGAAAAGGTAGTTACAGGACTGTGATTCTATGATCACTCAGGACAGTTGATTTCTACACTATGTACAGGACCACAGACCTTCACTTGAAACCAGTTGTGCTGGAAGCTGTATGTTTGAAACCAGATTGGTTGGCTGCTTGTGGCATGCCTATAAACTCCTGCTTCTTGGCTTTTGCTACTCCACAATCTAAAACAACAAACAAGATCAACAAATAATGACAGGCAAAAATCGAAAATTGTGCATTTTTCAATCTGACACGAGATATCGCTGTACATATATTTATTTCATTGTGCTTTTCCTTGGTTTTATTTGTGGTTGTTTTAAAGAGGTGTTGACAATAATTAAAATATTACTCACAGGAGTTCTCTTATTAAATAGCCAGAATTTATTTTGTAGTGACTGTGTTTGTGCAGTAACCACCAGTATTACTGTTGAATCAAGATGAAGTTGACTTTACTTCTTATTGGGAGTGAGATTTTACAAGATGCAGTATTTTGGGATCAAAATCAATGGGATATATTAAATACCTAATGCATTGCTGTCCTGAAGCACCTCCTTTTTTCTGCAAGAAGGAATTCTGTAGGGAGATGTTCTCCTTCATGCAGTTCCCATGGCCTGGGAATCCCCACCAAGTCCCTCTTTCCCCCTGTTCCCTGGGGGGTTAAGCCAGGGCTATGCTATAACTGTTTCTAAATGCAGGTCTTGTTTCTCACTTGCTGGGTTGTGGTACCATGTGATGGAGAGCAGGTTTTCTGTGTCAGCAGCCATCCTGACCCCACAGGTTGCACTCTTCTGATAGCAAGCAGAAGATAAAAACTGAAATCAGAGGCTGGGAAAAACGGTTTAACTTTCCTGTGGCATCCATTTTTGGGCAAACAGGGGCATCTCCGGCTCAGCCCAGCTCAGCACTGTCACAGCATTATCTTCTCGTGGAGGAGAGGATTACTGAAGGTGGGGTCTTTCTCCTTGTTGTGGTGTGGGACTGGATAATGTGAGCAACAAGCTGAAAGAGGAGGTAGGTCTCCCAGCAGAGAAATTAATTCTATATATTATGCAATAACTTCATTCAATGTAATATTCAACTCTATGTTATATACACTGTGCAGAGTTAGCTAGATGCATGACAAGGGATCTTCCTCGTTCATTACAGTATTTACACCATTTCACTACAGTAATTACATCTCATAACACTACAAAATTTTGCCCCACCACAAAACATAGTACAGCAGCTTAGATTGTCCTTAGTCAGTACTGTCAGATCCTATGGGCTGAAAAATTACAGGAAACTTTACAGCAAGATGATAGCAAGAAATAAATGCAAACTTTAGGTTTCCCAATTGCCACAAAATCTCAAGAGAAAAAGGGAGGACCATTTTAGATTCAGACATCAGAGCTCAGTAAGTGTTGAAATATTAGTAGGAGATCAGAGACTGGTCCAGATGGCTGAGGGTAGAGGCCAAGCCAAATGTGCCTGAAACCCTCCAATTTAAACACAGTAAGTGGGGCTTTGGGATGGGTCTGTGTTTCCTAAAAGACTATAGAGAAAAGCCTTTCCTTCATTTAAAAACCCAAAACACTAAACATAAAAGCCTCAAGTGCAGGGTAAAGAATAGCAGCAGCACAGCTTATTCGTTTACATGTTACACTGAGTACAGCATTCCCTCTTCTGACACAAGCAACGATACCTTACTGGCTGTATGTGTGTTGCAAGTTGGGTTAAACCCCTTGGAGCCAGTGACTGTAACAGCTGCTTCCATTCAGGATCCCTGTAAAGAAGTGATTTACAATGTGTAATAAAAGAGCTAAAACGACGTTTATCTCCTCCCCTAGTGCTGGCATGCATTGTCAAAGGTGCTCTTTCGTGACATACAAAGGAGCTTGTGCTGCCTTTAGGTACTGTTGGCAAAGTGGGCGGGGTGGACTGGGAGCACTGGCGTGACCACAACCCTATGGCAATGTGACCTCGATTCATTTCTGTGTAAGAAGGCCTGTGTGCAGCCCCAAGTGGTCAGTGGTTTTCACTGTCAAATGTTTTGTGAGGGTGCCTGTATCTGAGAGGCCAGCAGCTTTGAGGAGGGAAGCAGTAATGCATGCAGGGACATGTGGGTGCATGCATTTCAGGGAAAGACCACACAGTACATGCTTTTAGGCTCTCTACTGGCTGGAAGTATGCTTGGAGCCATGACACGGGAGCTTGGGATTTGAAGACCACTTGTCTTTTGTGTCTGTACAGATTTGCTACCTTAGCAGGTAAGGGTGTGCTCTTTTTCTGACTTGCCTTCAGTAAGGCACAAACAATCTAGGAGGTACTTGGAAAGCATTGATGATAACTTTCTTATACAAGAGGCGGAGGAGCCAGCAAAAAAGGGTGTGCTGTTGGACCTCATACCAAACCTTTGAATGGTCATGGTGACTAGGAGAGGTGCCTGAGGACTGGAAGAAAGCAAATGTCACTCAGTCACAGGGCAAGTAAGAGGATCCAGCGAACTGCCAGACAGTCAGCCTTACCTCAATCTGAAGTCTGGCAGGTAAATGCTTTCCAAGAACCACCCAGATTGTCTGTGCCTTGCTGAAGGCAAGTCAGGAAAAAGAGCGCACCCTTACCTGCTAAGGTAGCAGATGTGTACAGACACAAAAAACAAGTGGTCTTCAAATCCCAAGCTCCCATGTCACGGCTCCAAGCCCACTTCCAGCCAGCAGAGAGCCTGAAAACCTGTACTGTGTGGTCTTTTCCTGAAAAGCATGCACCCACATGTCCCTGCATGCACTAACCTCAGTGCACCCTTGCTGCTTCCCTCCTCAAAGCTGCTGGCCTCTCAGATACAGGCAGCCTCGAAAAATTTGAGAATTTTACCCTAAAAGACCAAGTTGCATTTCTATGGAGCAGATTAATTGATTATATCTGGACTTGAACAAAAGAAATATTTGTAAGTTCAGCCATGAATCAGGATTTCTCTGTTGCCTGGTAGGAATATTGTTGTTTCATTGTTGTCTTTTGTTTTCTTTGTTGTCATTGCTAGTTCCAGTATTCCTGGAATATCTTTGACATCTTCTGTGAGTGTTTTGGGCTTTATTCATTTTCAGAGCCATGGCATGTCCCCATAGTAACACTGCCGTTATCAAGCCATGCCAAATCATGGGGATTCACACAGAAATGACTGCTAAGAAGTGGGTGAAATGAAGAATTTCAGTACATAAAAAAAATTACCTAGATCTCAAAGTACCTTTTACTGTGGTATGTTTGACTGTGCATTCCCTTTCCTCAAACCACGTAATTTAGTGTAAAGCTGTCATGCACTCTGCTGATAACATGATGAAATCTATTTGGAGTCATGTTCAATGAGCATCATCAACAATTAGGTTCTTTCCAGCTTGATTATTCACTGTTTTCTCTTCTGCTCATGCAGATGTTGCCCCCACATCAGCCTTTCCACAGTGGTAAGCCCCTTTGCAAACATTATTCGTATAAATACATATGTGCTGGAAAAACAGGCAGTACAAATGACTTGATATTTTGGAATAAGAATGTGACATGTAAACCACTGTGTAGGATGGGGCAAGACAGAGTGAGTCAGGGGATCTGCTTGACTCTAATACTCCTCTAAATCTTCCTAGAAAATGAGAACTGCTTTTCAGTCTTTCACCCTAGGCAGAGACCCCGTGGTTAATAAGATATTTCCGAAGATTAGTATCAATGTCCAACAGTCATATTTCCCTACAGTAATGCCTTTACCCATGCCCAATTCCCCTGGACTGCTGCTGCTGTTGAAATGGAATGGTCCTTTTCTCCTATGCTATAAATTTAACTTCTGCTGTGGGTATTTACTTATTCTGGGGTCTGTTTTCAGAATAAGGCTTTGTTTTTTTCAGTATGCTGCACTGGTTCTCAAACACTGATAACCTTCTTGGCAAAGAAAGGCACTTTCAACCACCAATGCCAAACTCTCCCGCTCCAGCAAATGCATATGTTAAGAAAAGAAATGCTATCAGCAGGACAACAGGTGGCATATTGCAGCCAATCTTAAAAGGTTATAATAAGAGGGAGTGTGTGTGAGAGAGAGAGGAGAAAAAATGGAAAAGAGGGTGACTAAGCTGAAGGAAAATCTAGGGGCAAGCGTTTTTTCCGCTACTGCACTTACATGGTGCTGGAATGAAGGTCTGCTGACGTTGCAGCACTGGGGTAGGGTACTGCCCTGGAAATGTATTTGCCCATTGTACTGCTCTCTGTTTGCTTAGAAGGAATTCAGAAGGGATTTGCTTTCTCTTGTTTCATGAGCCCCACGCTTTCACACTGACCAAAGTGGATACGCACCAGCTGGCCACGTCCATCATCACCACTGGGTGGGAGAATTCCTGATTATACTTAGATCCCTCAGACCCCACTCTGTCACTAACAGAGAAGCTCTGCTTGAGCACTGCTTCCGAAATGCAGCCGGCTGGGAGGTCCACACGCCTTGCCTGAAGGAGCCGGATGCCTTCTGGATCAAACATGAATGACTTGCTGAAGGTGCCCCTGGTACATGTCCTCACCCTGGCAGCCCTCAGCTTGGCTGAGACACTCCTGAAAGGTTTGCTTGGTGGGGCTTTTGCCCTGGTCTTCTTCTTCTGTCACTTGCTGAAAGAGGTTTTCCAAAGAGGGGGGTGTCTCTGGTAATGGCAGGGTGGGTGGTGCTGTAGCGTTCCCAGAAAAGACAAAAATGCTCTGCTTTTAGCGATCACTTCACTGCTTTTAGAAGCATAGCAGTGAAAATATTCTGATACTCATGTCTGGAATTGAAGGTTCTTTGTCTATGAAGTGCACGTAGTCCGTTGTCATGGGCAGGGGGATCTTTGGGTTCAGCCTGGGTGGGATGTGTATTTCTCATGTTAAAGGAAGCTCAGAAGAGTTAATGGCTGGTAGTACCTGTTGCTGCAGAGCCCAAGACTTGTGATGTTTGGCATGTGTGCGTACGCTTATAGGTACATAAAACTTCAAAAGAAGTAAATAGCTATTATGTCTTTACAAAGCGTATGTATATAAATACAAATGTATTATTTGTATAGGATATAATATAGAAGATATTATACCTTCTTCCTATCTTATGAGCACACACACATATGGACATATGCACACACACTTTTAGCCAGCAAAAGAACTGGAAAAAAAAAATCTGTTTAGGAAACTCTCTGAGGTACCAGTTGCAACCATGGTCTTCTGGACACACCATCTGATAATGTTTTGGGCAATAATTTTTGCTGCACAATGATTGTCCAAAGCCATTCAATGCATGCTAGAAACATTGCAGCTTCAAGAAAAAAACCAAAATCTTATTCACGTGTTAGGTAAACATTGCGGCTCTTGCAGGGCTGTGCTTTTATAATTGTTAGTCAGATTGCTCTCAAAATGGAAAAAAAAAGGTATCTCCTTCGTAAAAACCTTTTGAAATAAAAGTGTTAATATTTTCCTAAGGCACTAAAATAAGTTGGTGAACCCTAGTCTTTTTGAATGCTGTGGCAAGGCAGGATTCGAGAAGCAAGAAAAACAAAGAGGACAAGGATACCTTTTTTTTTTCTGGTGTCACAGAACAATGAACAGACACATATCCTATTCTAGAACATCGCATCAGGTGGATGAATTGGCTTGTTCCCTGAGAGAAGCTGAAAGGTGACTGTAGTCCAATGGCCCTATAGAGGTCCTGCAGCATTAGCTGGAAACACAACTGAGTAGTTTCTGACCAGAGGAACTGCAATTTCTCTAGGTGTCTGCAATTCTGTAGGAGGGACTGGCTCTGCTTTCTGCATTATTTTGTTTGCCTGGCTTGTCTGGTTTCAAAAGTGTGAATCCAAATCCAAAGCCAAGCAATCTGAAAGCTTCTGGTGGGCTGGGGATGGGAGGGGATTTGCTTTCTCGTAGTCCCGTGACCAGCCTTGGGTCATTTTGCTATCTCGGGAAACTACAGCTGACATCCAGAGAAAGGGCACCTATGTGGATTTACACATATATAAGTTAATTGATTTTCAATATTACTTAAAGCCACAGGGTTACCTTAAAAATGTCAGAAAACCCAAAGGGATACTCATGAAAAAGATTGGCTTCATTTCTATATGCTGATAGATATGTCCGTACACTGTTTAGATTTTATTTTCCCATGTTAAAATCTGGTAGCGTAGGCATCCTAAGTTTTGAGAGTTTTGAGTGCTTTCTGAAGAAAACATGGACTGACAGCAACACCTGAGCAGTTTGGATGGCTTTTAGAAGCAAAAGCAAGCACCATCTCAGCCATTTTGGGGCTCCGTTGCAGTGTCACAACAAAATGGCATCATTGCTCACTCCACTTGATTTTAATATCACAAAAGGTAAAAAACAGCATACGAGGAAATACCACATCACTGTTGCTGTCATGGCTGCTCTTTGAGGATTCAGAATTTGGGGAGACAGCTGTAAAGAAGTTCCTTTTCTTTTTACCATTGTGCTGTTGGTTTGGGCGATATCGTCTGTAAGTAAGAGCCTTATAGACTTCTGACCGAAGAGCTGTATGCTGTCTTTTGGGAGGTGCCAGATCAGACCAGGTGTAGGCAATATTCTGTCATGCACTGAATTAAAGACACAGCATAAAAGTATTTAACTGTTTCTAGATAATTTATTAACAGGTAAAGCTGTGAGACCCCTGGTGGCCTAGTGGTTAGCGTGCAGGACTTTCACTGCTGCGACCACGGGTTCAAATCCCGGTCTCCTGGCCTGATGGAGGTCGTTAGCCCTGTGTGGCCATCCATCTATGAGAAGGACACTCTAAACAAACCTACGTCCTGAGGACCTCACTGCCATTGTCCAAGCTTGCTTGGCCCCGGCAGATGAACCTTAGGATTAAAGGGTGGGCTCAGTTCAGCGCAGGCTGTGTCTCACCTAAAAAATCCATTGCGCAGCCTGGAAAGGTAAAAGACCTTTCCCCAAATCTTCGCTCGCGAAGATGGGCCATTATTAAAGCTGACGGGTCTTGTTTCCCCAAAAGAATAAGTTACTGTAGTTATGCATATTGACTCTTGGTACAAATGTAACTTTATTCCTTGTGAGAATGGCTGTGCTTATGCAGACAACAGTTATAAAACTGGTTGCTTTGAATTATCATTACTGTAAAAATTTACATTTCTCAGGGTTAGAGAAGCATCCTTCCAGAGACCAAGGCATGCGGACAACAGCAATAAAACATACTATATGAAATTAGATTGCAAAACTCCAGGGTTAATGCCATCAAAACCCAATAAACTCTGTCACGAAATAGCAATGTCCCTTTTGAAGTAGTCATGATAGCCATCAGTGGGGGTTATTCTTCTAAGGCAACATTCAAAGTAGGAAAACTTAGGCTTTATGGAAATCTTCCATTTGGTTTCACTGGCATAGAATTTATCTGAGGTGCAATAGAGAGATTATTTCTATCTAATGTAACCCAAAATGACCCAATACATTGAAGAGTGATACAATTTGAAGCAGTGATCTTAAACAATTAGTGTGTCATGGACTTGTATCAATTAATTTTTCTTTAATATAATATTTAGTACTACCTTAGCTATAGTTTTGAGATTTATATAAGTACAGTCATTACTGGTAATCAATGATGCAACTTGAAGTTATAAAATATAGAAATATTATTGATGCAGATTTGTTCTAATAAAATGTCAAAAGTGTTTAGATTTTTACATAAACCTGATAGTGGAAGCTGTTCCTTTCTTCCTCTAGCTTCATTCCAGCAGAACTCCAAAGACATTCTAATTTTGACTCCCATGTAAATTGAAAAAGCATTGAGGTGTAGATTTTCTATTATTCTCAATCACTGAAATCTGAGTGTCTTCTATTTTTCCCTTTTCTTAGGAGGGAGGGGTAAAATTGTTATAATTTATTTTTTTGCCTGAATTAAACTTTAGTATACTAAGGAGGGCCAGTAGATAAACAGCAGTTGGTATTCTCCTGTGAAAAGACAAACAGTATGCCACATACTGTTACAGTCAGAGAGGAATAAGAAGACTCCTGCATCCATTATGCATTTTCAAGGTGGTGTTTAGGAATATGGTATGAAATTAGTTTATGTCAGCACAGTAATCAATGAAATCCAGTCCAACAAGTATGGGTGTGTGTCCCTTGCAGCCATAGATTAAAAGTTATTCAAGTGTCTTTGGAGACAGTGCCTGCAATGCATATTGTGCAGGGAAAGTGATTCACTAGGCTTATGCTTTAATCCCTTCCAGCTATGATTCAAGTCTTTTACTGGAGCGACAGCAAGTGTTTCTAAAAATGCATTCGAGTATCACAACAGGTATGATAACAGGTCTGATAATAAGCATTGGGCACAGCTATCAGACTTCTAACTCCTGTGCTACTTGTCTAGAAAAAGTGAGAAAAAGAGAACATGTACTAGTAATGACAAAAATCTGAAGGACCCTAATGACTGCGTGAGCCTTGCTTTGAAAAATATAGTGCTATATAGTAGGTTTGATGTTTGAAGAAAAAAAAAAAGATAAATAGTTGAGTGGAACAAATCCTGTAATAATGACGAAGAAGCCCAAATCTCATGCATTATGCAATAATAAAGAGGCACTCTGCCCACTCTGGGGGCAGGTCAGCTTGGCTTCAATTGGTGTGCTGCTCCTTGCACTTCCAGCCTACGCAATGCCAGGGGGGCAGCCTGGCACAGGGGCAGCCTCATCTATGTTCTTGCAGTATGCCACCTAGTACTGTGAACCTTGGGGGAGAGGAGGTTTAGAAACATAGGATCCATAGGGCTTGTTGGAGCTTGTTTTGCTCTGCCTTGCACCTTGTGGAGACATCACAAAGCAAAATACCATTGAGTGACCCTGCAGGGACGGCTGCCTCCACCAAAGGTGTCTGACAGTCTATGTGCCTCTCTCCAGGAGACACCATAAGGCTTTCTCGTTTTCTCTTCCTTCACACAGCTCCCTTGATCACCACTCCTTTGGAAACAGTGGATGCCCTAGTAGAGGACGTGGCCAAGTTTGTCTGTGTAGTGGAGTCGTATCCTGAGCCGGAGATTACGTGGACACGCAACAGCATTCCCATCAGGTAGGGAGCAGCCCCAACCCGCTCCAGCATCTCCTGCCAAAACTGGCAGTGCTTTCGTTTGTGATAAAGGAGATATCTGGAATTATAAAAATAGGTCTGTGGTAGGGTAGAGGGTGAGTAGCTGTAATTATATAGGAATCTGTGTTCCTTACAGAATGATAAGAGCAACTTCACAAACTTGAGCTTGAAGACTGTTGGTTTCTGCTCCAAGCTATGCAAGAATTTTCTTTCTAGCTTTAGACAGTTCAATCTGCTCTGTTCCTCAGTTTATGAGTTTATGAAGTGGGAGGATGCTTTGAAAAGAAACTTTGCAAGACTTGTTGCCTGTCTCAATGTTCTTGGGAACTTTGCGTGGAAGGGGTCATTCTATGCTATTCTTGTTTGCTTCTAGTTCTGGATCTGACCCCAGGAAAGTGGCTTCTCATTGTTACACTTTCAAACATTAACCACCAGGCATCAGGATGCAGATAAAGGTGGCAGTCTTGGAAATGTCTTATGGAAGTTGTTATAATTGCTTTTGCTCTGTTGCCATAGACAGGCTTCTAGAAAGTAAATTGTACTTGATCTTCCAGCTCTGAAATCACATTACATCTACCACATGCCTTCACATGTTTCTTATTCTAGATTGCTGTTAGTGATTCCCTCTGTAAAGGAAAATTACAGCACTCCCTTTGTTGGTTAATGCCGATTCTCTACAAGAGATGTCCATGTTAGGCAGATGGTCACCTGAAGCATGATTCTCACTGTTGTGGTCAAGCATCCAAAGAGCCTTTGAAGCATTGCCTTGGGAAACTCCAAATAAGTCAGTGGTAGCAGGAGGTAGATAATTTTAAAATAGGAAGAAAGCAGAAACTTACACATACGCATGCTAGCCTTCAGAAATCAGTTTTTTCATTGCCTGTAACCTCAGCAAAACCTTGGGCTTAATCCTCTGACTCTGGCTTTGTTGCAATATGGAGGTCTGAACTTCCATGGATGTTATTGCCAAATCAGGTCATGTTTCTCGTAATCCCTTCCCCATCAGTGACACCATGACTGAAAATCAAAGCTGGGAGAGGACGCCATTCATGCAGGGCCATGCCTTTCTCTCCCCAGATCTTTAAAATGGTCACTCTCTATGTGTTCTAAGATAACATGAAAACCAGACCATTTCACACCACAATCCCCACTTCCACAAGCCCAGCATACCTTTCTAAAAGCCATCCAATTCTCTCTCTGAGATAGAGTGCCTTTTCCACAACATTGACCGAAAAGGAAAATACGGATAAAAACATCTCTGCTGGTAAGGACAGAGAGCTCAGGTGCTTCATTCCTTTACTAAGGCTTCTGGAACAACATTAATATCAGCAACCATTTCACTTTCACGAAGCTCTGTGTCTTAATATTCAGTACTGCTGGGTACAAAAGCTCAGACTAAAGACAGGGAAAGGGATAAACTGAATATATTTCTGCTACTTTCTAAGAACTCAGATGAAAATATTTGCAGAATGGAAAATGATCAAATCGGTGGGCTTTTTTCTCTGAAAAAACCTCCATATAAATATATTTCTGTGCCTCTGTGTATATATCAAACTTCAAAGGGCCTACTTATTGCAAGCAATTAATATCAGTTATTTTATTTACAGGATTTTCTTCTCTTGCCAAGTCTCAGCACCCTGAACAGACAGCTAGGCTAACCTTCAAAACAAAACAGTGTGTAAACTTTCAACTTTGATGGGAATAGGGCCAGGACAGAGACTTCTGTCAGCACTAGTATTCTGGATGTGCCTTTCCTTTTGGCATCAAAACTTGTGCAAGGAGACCAGCAGGTGCCCTGTGCTGACTGAAAAGCCCTAGGACAGGGCTGTCCACAATAAGCCTTTCTCAGGGAAAGAAGGGTATAGAGTTAGCACATCTTTTACACTATGGATGAGTTCATGGCACTTTTTCTTCCCATGGTGAAAAAGAGGAGAGAGATATAAGACTGAAAGGCAAAAGGCTGTTGAAAGGAAATATGTGCCTGTAAATGACACATTCAGATTACTCAATGACTACACTACAATTTCTAACAGTAAAAGAACAAAAGAGGACATATTTAGGTGTCAGATATTTGTGATAGCTTGGGAGACAATCCTTAGGTCAGAACTGTTCTGCTACTGTTCATCAGAATCAAAGTTCAGGTGCATGAAAATGCTTCCAAAAATTGTCTATGACGGTGTGAAAATCAAACATAAAGGAGTTTATGAAATGCTGTGCAAATGTTTTTTACTGAACTTTTCTTATACTTTTTGCAGTTTTGTAATGAAAATCAAGAGTTCAATCCTCTGACTTCTCATCACCTTTCTGCTTTTCCCTTGCTCTCACCCCCACCCCACCCCCCCCCCCCCCCTCCCCCCCCCCCCCCCCATCATGTTCACATGTAGAACTGGTCTTTGCTCTACATATTTTGTTACAATATCCTACATCTGTATTGTTCCAGCTTCAGGGCTTCTCTTGTCTTCTCTGAAGTCTCCAGGTTAAATCCTGCTTTGTTAAAACTATAGCTCTCCTTGAATCCTCTAACCTTGAGAATGCTTCATCACATTCCTTTGCTTGTTTCAAATTGGTTTTTTGCTTGTTGGTTTGGTTTTTTTCCAAAAAAATAGACAAAACCGCTCCTGGAGGTAGACACAAAAATACATGCTTTTTTGTTTGTGTCTATTTTCCCAACAGCATAAATCTTTGTGTAACTTTATCTGTTCAGTGAAAAAAGCTTTTCTTTTTATTCCAAAGGAGGTTTCTTTAAACAACTTCAGTCAGTTCTACTTCCTATATAAGCAGTCCTTCCTTTGCATGGGACAATTACAGCTAACAGGACCCAGCTGGAAAAGATTATTTGTGCTCATGCCTGTCCTTAGCCAGTCAGAAACCAAAACATGATACCTACTTACTTAACCGATATTTGGATGGAGGAAGAATTGCCACTACACCAGTGGCAGTCAGGAGCTGCATGGTCTAGTGAGAATCTAAGTGAATCTTAAAGCCCAACTCAACATTTTCAGCACCTTTCCTTCCCCCTGCAGGTTGAAAATAAAAGGTAAAGCTTACTGCCATTTGTAGTAGTGTCAGTCATCTGTAGATTCAAATGCAATTCCCCCTCTCTGTCCCTTGTTGTTCTCCCAGCCCTGACGATCTGTGCTGTGCCCTGCAGGCTGTTCGACACGCGGTACAGCATACAGAGGAACGGGCAACTCCTGACTATTCTGAGCGTGGAGGACAGTGATGATGGGGTGTACTGCTGCACAGCAGATAACGGGGTTGGAGCAGCTGCACAGAGCTGTGGGGCTCTCCAGGTGAAAATGCGTAAGTGAGAATGCAATTTCTTCCCAACACCATGTGAGTATTTAATTGAAAGTCTGAGCAGACCCCCAGGTATGGCCCCTGATGATCCGTGTTCAGGGCAGACTCATGTTCTTGTGAGGCTGGGTGCAGTCCTTTGAGGCAGTGACACAGCATAATGGGTCATATCTTAACTTAATGCTGTGCTTATTATTCACTTTGAGTAACACACACTTGTGCTAGGATCAGGGGATAAATCCCAATACTTTGAAGTATGCCTTTTGTGCAAACTCCATAAAAGAGGCACAATTTGATAAATTAGACCTCCATGGCAATATTGTATAAATCCCTTGTGAATATTAAATGTAAAATTTCACTAAGCAGATTTCTGCCTGATGGTGGCAAAAGCAAGTAAATGATGTTTAGGTGCTCTCAGTAGTAGTGTGGAACGGTCTGGAGCACCATGAGGTAAACGTCATCGTCTTACATGGAAGGCAAAGTACTTAGTCTTGCAAAGGGCAATGTAGGTTCTGAACTTGGTGAAACTGAACTCATATGGCTGCAACTGCTAACACAAACACTTTAAAGGGCAGCAGAGGTATAGTCTGGCTAAAGCATCTGTTTGTAGGAAAGGATTTTTTTGTGCTAATGAGCATGACCCTCCGGGTCTGGTAATTCTGGAGCTCTACAGCACCCCAGTCACTGGCAGGTGGGGGCTAGGAGGTGATGCTCTCTTGAAGCTTGTTTTTCTGCTGGTTCAGTATCACGCAAGGGAGTCAAAATGTCAGGTCTCCCAAAATACTGAGATGACAATCTTTTTTACTCCCTGCTCAGAGTAAGCTAGGCCATATGGTTCCTTGGGCAAAATAAATTTAAATTTATCCGTTATTAACTTTAAGGGAGTTTGATTGCTTTTTTTTTTAAAGATCATTTCTTCTTTTCATTAGCATAGTTATAAATCCTTCCGTTCGGGATATTAATTGAGTTTACATGCCTTTCTGTTGAGCTAGAGGCAAGCCTGGGTTAAAACTGTTTCAAAATCAATTCAATCCAGATCTGAACTTTCATACAAGACAGTGTTTACACAGTGAAGAATGTCAAAACCTGGAATGCAAACATTCTTCAATACTGGAAGTACTCTTATCTGAATTTGGATTTTAGCCCAGGCCTTAATTCAAATGACCATCAAACTCCACTCAGGAAAACAAATAACCCATGTAAGTTAACTGCTTTTGCATCCATAAACTGAGACTTAATGCTGTGCTGAAGAAAGTTCTTTCTTTCCAGGGCAGTTCATGATGAAGTAAGACTGCTCTACCTTTCAGCAATATACAGAAAGAGATCAAAATTTTTGATGTAATTTCTGAATTTGTCTTGTTGTAGTATCTCTTAGCTTCATTTCAACTTTAATTTTGGACTTTTGAAATTTTAGGACCCAAAATAACCCGACCACCTGTAAATGTGGAAATAATAGAAGGCTTAAAGGCTGTTCTTCCATGCACTACAATGGGGAATCCAAAACCTTCTGTTTCATGGGTCAAAGGAGAAACAGTTGTAAAGGTGAGTAGAGAATGATTTTTAAGTAGTGGTAATTATTTCTTAAAGGTATTGTGTTAAATATTATCATCAGTTATAGTATTTGTAACTTTTAGTTGCTAGAAAGCAAGCATTTGGAAAATCCAGGGCTCATCTCTCTGGACATCTGTATCTTATATTTTATATCCTTATTGCACTAAGCGTGGACAAATGCTGATGAAAGTACTTGTGAGTGTTCTCATAAATAAGAGCTCTTTTGAAGCTATAATTCAGAAATCTGCAAAAATAGGGATGGGTGAGTTTGTCATAACAAAGCTGAGAGGGAAGAGCTGGCCCCAAATCCTTCAGTTGTAGGACAACACAAATAATGTTCATGCATATAAGCCGTTTGTAAACAGTTATTTGGTTCTGCTTGTGTGCAGCCTGCATGTAGAGGCCTCACCTCAATTGCTCCTTCCTCTGGCAGGAGACTGCTCGCATTGCTGTCCTTGATTCAGGGAACTTAAGGATACACAACGTTCAGAGAGAAGATGCAGGACAGTATCGTTGTGTAGCCAAGAACAGTCTGGGAACAGCCTATTCGAAACCCGCCACTGTTGTAGTGGAAGGTGAGTAACCCTTGCACCAGGCTCCAGCTCCATGTGCCAGCTCCTCATCATACCTGGTTAACTTGAATTAACCTGAAGTATTACACTGATGTCAACAAAAAGATCTTAGGGGGGGAGAGGAGAGGAAAGGAGAGGAGAGGGAGAGGGAGAGGGAGAGGGAGAGGGAGAGCTTTCCTCATTGTGGACTTGAACATTTTCTGCACACTAAACTGAACACCAGATTGATTTTTCAGTTTCCGGTTTTTATGCTCTCAGTGTCCATCTCTTATGTAGAGAAGATATTTGCTTTGTGGTATAAATCATCAACAGTTTTAGAGTGCTGAGATCTGTGGACTGTAGGGGAACCCAAACATAGGCAACAAGGCATTCTATCTTCCTGAACCCTGTAAGAGAATTAGGGTTTTGCAGGGGTTTGTAGAGTGGGTGGAGGAATGACTGATTCAGTATGTGAACTAATTTTTATTTCTGATTCAGAATGACCATACTCTAGAAAGTGCAGAAGGGTTTCCATTTGCCTAGTAAGCTTCAAAAGATTGTTGTGGGTTACATTTGGCCTGGGTGCAACCTCATTTCTAAGAGGACCATTGACACCTGGGAGCAGGATCAGGTATATTAGATCCAACTACAAATTACTGTAGGTCTGCTGTTTCCCTAAAACATGCATTATTTTTTCAGGTGGATTTTTTTCCCCTTCTCTTTTTAATATTTATACATACAGATTTCGAGTGTGTCAGAAATTCCTTAAATAGCTTTAAATACAGAAGGTAGCTATTCTTAGTCTAGATTCAGAGCTATGCTTCTCCCAGGCTAAAAGTGATGAGGCAAAATGAAAACGGTTGGATCTTGAGGTGAACAGCTTCGGTTTTTGCCCCTGTCACTGAGGCAATGGGCAGAGGCTTATCAAGGGTTAAACTGTAAATGGCAAGTACTTGGTGCCATGCACACAAACAGCCCTCCCTGGGCCTCAGGCACTGAGATTTTATTGCTCCAGACCTACCAAAGCCAGTCAGGGAACCTAAAAGCAGGCTGGAATTGCACCAAAAATCCAGGCTGCTAAGGTAGATATCTTGTTTTGTCCCCATCTCCAGAATTATGCAGTGGCCTGTTCATTCAAGGAACGGTAAAATAATACACTAATATTCTACTTGAAAAGGAGAGCATATGAATGCTCTTTTTAAAATGAGGAAGATTAATTCCTAATTAATCAATGGGAACTCAGTGCTCCCATACAAGCTATGCCCTCATATTCCCTGCGTGTGTTGGGTGAACAAAGAAATGCTGTTCTTCAGGTTTACCTTTATTTCTCTGGTAGAACACCTATATAATATATCTAATTTCAGGCTCTCACCCAAACTAGACTGATGTATGCTTGGTTTACGTTTTTAGCTTCCCAAATCCAAAGCTATTATATCTGACTGCAGCTTGCTGTGTATTCAAATTCCTTCCTCTCATGGTACTTCAGATTAATTCTCATGGATCTTTAGCGTGCATACATATGTATGCATATACCTGTGTACACATGCAGGTACACACACACACGCACATCACCCTCACATAACTCTTTTATTATTACTTTTAGTATCCCTCTCCTCCTGTCTCTCCTACCCCCTTAGTAGCAGCATTTTAAAATAACTCCAAGTAAATAATATACTAAAATTACTCAAAGCAGGAAAACTACACTCCAGTACTAGTGTTTGAGCATACACTGTGTTCACAAAACTTGTGAAAATTGCTTCTCTAATAATACTACAATATTTTTCCTTAAATCTTGGTGCTAGTATTCACTGGAGCCACCACTCTGCACAGTGTGGTTTAATATTAAAATAAAATGACTAAGCATGGCTGATAACTATGAATATTTAATTCCAAGGCTAGTGCTCATTCAAAGAGCAGTGCAAATATTTATACCTAGCTAAATCTAGATCATGCAGAATCTGATTTCTGTTGTGAGCTTTTGTTTTAACTGGTCCAGCATCAGTCCTGTGTGGTGTCGCACCCTTAAGAGGAAGGGAGCACCCAAGATTCATAGATCCTCATTGAAAGGAATGACAACAGTCAGAGAGTTTGCAAAACCTAAAAGCTTACAAAGTTTTATTTGTAAATTACACATTTGGCATGGAAATTTGTTTGCTAATTCCTGACCTCCTACATAAGCACACAGCAGTGGGTTTTGGATAAAGGGGTGAGATGAAAGGGAAGGCAATGAGAGAGAGAGTTGGATTTAAGAGTGGAAGAGAGAAAGAAGTCACTATGAAGTGCTTCTCCACTAGTGTTCTGGTTTTCAGCTCTGCAGAAGCTGTATAATTGTATTGGGTTGTCTTTTCCCCATTTGATTCCTTTAGTTACAACCCACTCAAATTATGAAAAAAAGGACTAGTAAAAGTACTTGCATGAAGCAGAAGTGCAATAGGCAGAAACAAGCCTTACTCCACACTATGCAAAGTGAAACAAATAAGCAATGATCAGTCTGCTGGGTCAGTTAAAATTAGTGTGTGAATGTGACTTGTTCTTGCTAATGTACATCCAGAGAGGTCTACAAAAGGTAATATATGCACTGAGATAAAGGAACGATATTGTAATCTTGGCTGTTTACCAGGAAATGTGTTTTTAATTTCCTGACGCCACATTTCTGACCTGCAGTTTTGTATTAATTTTCTATTACCTTAAGGATTTTGCTAACTAGATGTTTAATCACTACTTTATCAGTTTTGATAATGTACACTTCTGCAAACCGTAGAAGAGCATTTATATACTCAATGAAATAGTACATTGCCAAAGGATTTCTAAAAATTTCCTGTTGGTTGCTGTACTGATGCCCAAAATGAATCTCTGGCTGAAGGATTCCTGGATGAATCCAAGATTCAGGACTACAGTAGAATAGAAGCATTTGCTGGCTTACCTGGCTTACCTTCAGACACAGATGTCTGAAGCTGAAGTTTATTTACAAGATGTTGGCTGAGATGGCTAAGATGTTCCATCCAGTTTCACCTGAAGATCACTCCTTTAGAAATAAATATGAGAGCAGCTATTGCCTTGTTAAGAGTTGTGTTGAGAGTTGTCCTCAAGTGCAGAAATTCCCATTGATGTCAGTGAAAATTCGGGGCAGGGTAAAGACTTTTCAGCTGTGCCAAGAATGTATTTTTTAGACCTTGTCTGAGCATTTGAAATCTGTAGTGTTTGCAAGACCTTTGTCTGTTTTTTCCTTCATGCATAGGCTCTAGAACAGGAGGAATTTTGGTTTTCATTGGTATTTCCAGTGACATTGATACAGTCCACTAATAGGACCGGTTTCATAAAAGCTGTGCACGAGCTCCTCAGGTTCAGCTTCTGGGCCTTCTGCCTTAAACTGTACACCCTCTGTGGTCTTGAAATGTATCACAATGATGTTCTTTATATGCATTGTGTATGAATTATGTGATATTAAAAGACTAAATTCAAAGCCGTGAGCTCTTTCCTGGTGAGAGGCATGGGAACATTCCAGCTTTGAGCATGCCTGTCACTCAGACACAGAGACAAGCTGCCTGGTATTTTTTTTCCCTTAATATGGGAAATAAATTCCACTGAATAGTTTTGCTTTAATCTCTTGCTATCTTTTCCAGATGTTGTGCTTATAACCAGTATTCAAAGTATATGTCATTCCTGCATCAAATAGGAAGTATCTACTGATGAACAAGCATAAATCACTACATTTTGTGATGATTTACAGGCTTCATTGCCTGACATGTGCTCTATTTTTTGCTTTGTTTTGGAGAATGTTTCCTTTTCTCCTTGGGAGAAGGAAAGTGCCATCTTGTGAATTAGTAGAATGGGCTCCTCTCTTATATGTTCTTCATTCTTCAAAATAAAAAAGTCACAAAGGAAATTGAAAAATTGATCATGAATTTCTTACCATTTAGATGTAACAACTGTTAAAAAATGAGGCATAAAGCCATGAGCCACACATTTCATCCTTAGCCTTATTTCTAGCTTCAGCTACGAAAAGACCATTTTCTGGAAACTGATGGAGTTATTGTCATTGAAATGCACAAAGGGTTGTGATGGATTGGGCACTAACAGAATTGAAGGCAGAATGTTCTTCCGAGAGGTGTCCTTCCAATCCAACAGAAGCATGTGTGTGGCAGTCCCTTGATGCAGAAAGAAAGTGTGAGTAGTCCACTGGGACTTTGTGTGCAGTAGGTTTTTCTTTCCCTAAGGATGAAGAACAACCTTCCTGTTGTGCCTTTTTAGGTGTTGTACGCAGCTAGTGAAACCTTTGACTTCCCAGTTTGCCCAGTGATGCATTTTTAATGTTGAAAAATAAAGAAAAAAGGAATAAATACATGAACCGTAATGTTAAAGGAAAGGGTACACAGATAGTCCTGTTGGTTGTGTACAGAGTTAGATGAACCTCCATCTTGTGACTTGCGTGAAACTGAGCTCGATCTTCAGCCTGTGGCACCAGAGAATTGTGGAATTCAGGAGTTTTGGACTATACAGTGTGATAAGGTTTAATTTTGAAGCCGCCACTCTACAGAGACATGTCTAGAAATTAGCAATTATAAATCTGTAAGGAAACAAATAAACAAATTAACCAGGATAAGTGCTGGAAGATCCAGCATGTTTAACAAGAAACGAACTGGATTCTTCATGGATTTACCAAGATTTTTGGATCAAATCTTCTCTGCAATTTCTAACAATTAGAATGGGGTCAGCTGGGGCTAGTGATCCTTCCTTTATCCAGTCAGTTTCATTCACCTTTTTGCTGAAGTGTAGCTGTTCTATTTCATCCTGTGTTATTATGTGACAGCACACAAAGCAATCAAATTAAAACAAGGGTAAGAAGCAATGCTCCCCACACTCCCCTGACTTAGATATTTGATTTTACATTCCAACTCTGACAGATTGAAGTCTTTTCCTGCCCAGACTTTATTGCTTATTACTAGCTACTAAAATAATACCCTGCCACAGGCCACAAAAATGTTCCCCTATAAGCCACTTCTGAGAACCGCCTTAGCCTTAAA